CAATGTATTGTTTATTTAAATTAAAGCACACACAGAGGGAAAAGTCTGTGTGCTGTAAACTACAAGGTAAGTTTATGGCACAAAAGCATTAACTCCTTGGCTGGATGACTGTTACAGGGTAGCAACCACTTACAAGTGGAGTGAACTCCATTGTGTTTGCCACATGCTAAGGACGTTGACATGGGAAATCAGTGTGGAGTAGCTCGTTTACTAGCTTACTTGCTCTAGCTTGCTTCACGTGAACTCCCCAGGTAGATACGCTCTGGGGAAGATGATATTTGCATTTACAGCTGCAGAGTGAAATATTTATGCTACAATGATCATTATGTACATTTCTGTTCAGCATGCAAGGAACTATATCCAGGCTGGCATCAGAGAACTGCATCCAAATGAATCCAAAGCAAATGCTCTTAAGGCAAGGAAATGCAGTGAATCTAGGTTTACCATGATATAAAAGGATGATGGAAGAGTCTGGTGATTACCCAGGATAGATAAGGAGGGTGACAGGGAACTCCAAATAGCTTAAAACAAGCATCAAAAGCCGTTGAAGTGGGAGCATGTTTAAACTAAATAAGAAACCTTGGAGTCCAGTTCAGGTTTCCCCTTACCCAACACTAGTTTTTCCAAGCACTGTTATAAAGCTGCTTTTATTTTATTTTAACTTTTTAACACTAAAGCAAAAGTTTTACTTATAGAATATTTGAATTTGTCTCCAATTTTGTTTCATGCTCTTGCTATCTTTCATGGATTTCCTTTGAACATGATACCCATGGCCCAGGCACATCTGCTACATATAGAAATAAAACAAACAAACAAACAAACAAAGGTAAGAAAATTCCAAAGGAAGCTATAGAAGTGCTTTTCAAATCAGCTGCTGGTTTCAAATATAAGCCAGAAAGGACATCAAAAGAGGGAAAAAACCCTTGTAGGCAAATGTGTTATCTCTTATTTCCTAGAGAAGTGCCAGACTCCCAAGATACTACAGATTCCCTTCATTTTAAATGAAAAACAAATTACCTTAAACGTAACTAAATATAAATATTTATCAGGCCTGCTTTGTGTTTGTGTCTCTGAATACGAGCATACCCACAGTAACTCTTTCCTCTGAATTTTTCAGACTTTAGCAATGAACCTAAATAGGAATCCAATCTAAATACAAAACAGAAAGTTATTTTTTTCTTTTAAAATGTTATTTTTAAAGAAAGAACTGCATTTCTACCCAGCTGAAAAATGTGATGCTTGGCCCAGGTTGAGGAACAGGGGAAGGCCATTAGGCCTGGACATGCCAACCTGAAACCAGGCATTAACACAAAGTTAATAATTAGTCCGTGTTCACCAAAAGTTGACTTTCAGAGAGCGAAACTCTGAGACTGGTTTGCAGCAGTGTGAAGCAACACTTACTGTGATATCATGTGTGACCAAGCAATCAGTGGGGCTCAACTGTTAGTTTTAACAGTGGTAAAAGTCAAAATATATCGTTCTGTTATTTGCTAGACGGCTTACAAAATAAGGCTGTTTTGCACTTTAAGTTTCCTGTCTCTTCTCAGCTAGCATGACTCCCACCAGCTTGGGTGGACTCATTCCTTCCAACCCATAGCCACACACTGATTGAGATCCCCTCTCTAAAAGAGACAGCCCATGAGAGATATGCCTCATAGACCCCCAAGAGATGTTCCATCTGTCATGGGATACACAACAGTTTCCCATAACAAATCGTAACATAGTACATGTTCAAAGAACCATGATTAATTAAACCAATAAATTAAAAATGGCTGATCTAGCACAAAAAAAATGGCAGCCAGACAACAAAAGTTGTTTCAAACAGGGACATACTTCACATGTGGCTATGTCTCAGACACACCACTTTTCCACAGTGCTCTGCTCTCCTTCCTCTGCCTGGTGGCAGTGGGGACAGGGCAGCTGCAATGGCAGTAGTAACTGACCAGGGGGTTAAAACCCTTGCACCATGACCAAGCAGCAACAGGGAAAGGGAAGTTATGGAGAGTGGCAGAGCTTGAGCAAGGGGAGAGGCAACCACTGCCCAAGTGTTGGACAAGCAGCCCAGCTTCTGGGCTGCCTATGCACCCTTTCAGCTTCCCAGCCTGTGAGCTGCCTGAGAGCAGGGAGCTGCTTTCCAATCCTGGGAATCATGTCCATGTTCTCTTTCAAGTGCCCAGTGAAGCAACAGGGACAGGGCAGCCACTGTGGCGGTTCTGTCCTGGACCTGGAGGCTGCCCACCCAGTCGCAGGCTGCTTGCCATGGGGAACTTTAACAAGAGGGCAGGCAGCTGAAGCTTGCTGCCCTGTAAGCATCTGCGCAAGCAAGGAGGCAGAACCCAGAGCACAACACCAAGCAGCATGCTCCAGAGTGATGCATCTCTGCCAGCCCTTTAAACAGCTGAGAGAGAGAGGATAGCACTTACAGGGAACCCTCTCACTTTTGTTTCTGTTGTAAATGGCTGGCAGGGTCTGATTGGGGGTACGGACCCCCTATGACTGCCTCCTGCTGCTACTGCAGAAGGCTTGCAGGGAGCCCTGTTACCCTTACCACCTGGAAATTTTAAAGTGCTACTGGTTCAGGAACACCAACAGCCCATTAAAGCACTGGGAACTTTAAAGGATGCACAAGCCTTAAACTTTAAAGGGTCTGCAATCTTAGAGAATCATAGAAAATTTGGGTCGGAAGAGACCTCAAGAGGTTAACTGGTCCAACCTCCTGCTCAAAGCAGGGGGTTGCAGTTCTAAACTAGTGATTGTTATGGGTTTGGGAGTAACTGCGTCAAAAAGATATTCAAATAAACTTGTTCCCAACAAACAGGAATCATCTAATCTCATTTGCAGCCTAGAATTACAGCTGTACCGTGATGTATTTCACCAGGTTAGTTGAAATTAAATGTCACTGCTGAACATGGCAGAATCCCCAACTAGATCATCCCAGCCAAGGCTTTGTCTAGCCAGGTCTTGAAAACCTCCAAGGATGGAGCTTCCACCACCATTCTGGGCAACCTATTTCAGTGTTTTACCACCTTCCTAGTGAAAAAATTATTCCTAATATCTAAGCTAAACTTCTCTTGCTATAACTTGAGACCAGTGCTCCTTGTCATCTGCTACCACTGAAAACAATCTGGCTCCATCTTCTTTTGAACCCCACTTCAGGTAGTTAAAGGCTGCTATTAAATCTCTGTCCTCTCTTCTCTTGACTAAATAAACCCAGTTCCCTCAGCCTCTCTTCAAAAGTCACATCCCCCAGCCCCCTCACCATTTTTGTTGCCCTCTGTTGGACTCTCTCCAATTTGTCCACATCCTTTCTGTACTGGGGGTACCCAAAACTGAACACAGCACTCCAGATATGCCTCACCAGTGCTGAATAGAGTGGAATAATCATTTTTCTTGGCCAACACACCTACCAATGCAGCACAGTATATCATTAGCCTTCTTGGCAACAAGGGCACACTGTTGGCTCATATTCAGCTTATTGTCCACCGTAACCCCCACATTCTTTTCTGCAGAGCTGCTGCCCAGCCAGTCAGACCCCAACCTGTACTGGTGCATGGGATTGTTCTGACTTAAGTACAGGACTTTGCACTTGCCCTTGCTGAACCTCATGAAATTCCTTTTGGCCCAATCCTACAATTTGTCTAGGTCACTCTAAATCCTAGTTCTACCCTCCCACATATCCAATACTCTCCTCAGCTTGGTGTCATCTGCAGACTTGCTGAGGGTGCACTCTATGCCATCTTCCAGGTCACTGATGAAGACAATGAACAAAACTGGCACCTGGACCAACTCCTGGGGAACTCCACTTCATACTGGCTGCCAACTAGACATTGAGCCAGTGATTACTACTCTGAGCCCAAAGCTCCAGCCAGTTTTCAATCCACCTTACAGTCCATTCATCCAGCCCATACTTCTTTAGCTTGCCTGTGAGAATGTTGTGGGAGATCGTATCAAAACCCTTGCTAAAATGACACTGACTAATGATGTTTTATGTGAAACATATGGTTTCACCAGAGGGATAGCAGGGCAGCTCTGCACCCAGGGTAGCCACAACACACAGGGCAGTGCTGGCTGTTGCGGTGCCAAGGGCAGCAGCACAATCAACTGCTAATGTGGTGGTGGCTATTTGTGTGTCCACTCCTAATGGTGGCACCTGGGACTGCTGCTCCAGTCTCCCTCCCCACCAAGTTATACTGCTAAATTTCATTTTTATAAAAAAAATATGATTAATTATCTCAGGGGTGTTAAACTCCTCTGGCTTCATGGGCTGGATCTGGCATGCAGGGCTCTTTGCAGGTGGTGACAGCACTGGTCTGTCCCTTTTGTCTCTCAGAGTTCCCAAAGATTTAGGCCAAGTGTGCAGCCCCAGTGTGGGACTATCACTATGATAGTAAGGGAGGGAAGGGGCAGTGGCTCTCCAGACACACAATCAATCAGAGCACTGCTCCACTCATCTGTCTTCAGGAACTCCAGGAGGTGGAAAGTCAGCTCACCAGGGCCACTTTTATTCCCCTTCAGGAAAGCAGGCCCTTTTAACACCTAGGCACACATGTTTGCACACTGTTCCTATTGCATGACAAAAAGTCTAGAGGGAGGCCCCTGACAGCCCAATTGGAACTAGTCACACCTTTAGATAAAAATAATGGACCAGCCACAATGAAATTGCTCACTGAAACAGCAAGTTCTTTGTGGCATACAGGTATCTTGCAATAACTGTAATGTGTGGCCAGCTGGCACATTATGATTTGTTGTGCAAAACTCACATATAAGATGCAACAAAAGTAATACCTGTCAGGATCCCTAGCCTTGCTAATTAAGCAAGGGAAACCACATACATCCCAATCTCATTCACGTGCACACAAATACCAGACTGTTGCATTATATGCCACTGCACAGAAAACACTGGGATGGACGCTTGCTATTTGCTCACTTACGTTACCTAATAACTCTTGTAGACATACGACAGGACAACACTCAGCAGGTACAGGCTTCAAGTCTCTTACCAGATACTGTAGCCGCTGACGCTCAGTTTCTGGTGTGAATTCTGAAGACATTGGAACAACTTCCCCGTTTCGGATTATGATGGCTCTGCAATGATCAAAAAGCATCATTAGCAGATACTACAGAGGATACAGGGCCACAAGGCGTCTTTCTAATCTTAGTGAGATTCTTATTCTCTTCAGACCACAGCAAGACAATCTTTTTTTCCAAATCATTACTAAAACATTATACCAACTCTCATCCCACATCAGTTAGACTAAATAGCAAGAGTACAATTTGTGTATGCCAAGTTTACCACAATATTTAGAGCTCAGAAAAATCTGACACTCGAAAAATGAGAACAGGATTTATCACATCATATGACTATTGGGTATCCTTATTAGTGAAAGTCAAACACCCAAAGGAGGTGCTGCAGAATCAATGATTTTAAAGAAAACCTTTGCAGGCTTTAATCCTGATAGTGGCTGACGCACACTAACCAACTGGTTTCAGATGACTCATGCAAGTCACTTTCCAGTTATGAATTGATCATATGTCATGTCAGAAAATTTCCATTCTAGCAGCAAATGGAAATGGCAAGGCAAATCTTGTTTAACACACATCTAACTAGATACCTGCCAAAGGAAGACAGGTAATGGGATGACTATAGATCATCTGGCAGATTTCACACGCATTTCTGCAAGTGGCACAAAGAAAATTCCATCATACAATGAACATTTTTCTGTCATCTCTATTAAATATCTGTTGTACATAAAGGCCACATTCTCCAAGGGTGTTATTCCACTGGCTGAAACAGAATTGCTCTAAGGAAGAACTTGGTCCATAATGTTCCTACTATATTTATTGCCAATGTATACAATCAAGTAATAGAATTGTATTCTCCACTTTTTATTATTTATGCAGCCCTTTAAGTGGAGTGCACACAGTGCTTTACTTAGTGGTTGGAAGAAGCATATGTGATCCCACAGATTTAACAATCAGATTAGGAACTGTCCATGCAGCGTAGATCAGAATTTGAATATGTTTACTGTTTTATCATTCCACAGTCTGTCCACAAAGCAAGTTACTGTTATTTGCATTAAATCTCATCGATTCCTCCACTGGTGATCCTTTATGCTGCCTTTATTTTTGATAATTACCACTTAATTTGATCAGTTTATTTGCTACTACCTCAGGGACTGGTATCCTAGTGGCACTGGAAAGCTATCAAAATATGTACATGCACATCAAAATGTAATGGTTGCGTCAAAACACAGATCATATCTGGAACACAGCCCTTAAGGTCATGCTTTTCACAATCAGCTTTTTGCAGTCACATTTGCCAAATTACAATCTGTAACTTTCCCATGAGTCACTTCACGTTCCAGTGGATCAACATAGTCCCCATATACACGTACAACAGAACGACAAAGGGGCAAGTTGTTTTAAGAGCATTGTATATTAATGATGTAATTATTAGGGATAGGTGAGGCTGAGGATTTGCTGGAAAGCACAGGAAAGAGGGGAGCCCAACTACAAGTAGCCTACAGGGCCAAGAAATTGGAGAAAATAGCTCTACTTGGAAAGAGACTTTTTTCTGCACTTATCTTGCAAATAATACAACGTGTTGCATATTAGCGGTAAGAGTGAAACACAGAAGCTTACATAACAGCATCATATCTGCCTACTGCCATTAGCATTCTATTTATTTTCTAAATAGGGAAGATGAGCATGAAATTATCTGGGCAGAAATGGTGGCAGACAGAATTATGGCTCTTTCTTTTTTTAACTCAAAATGGCTTGTTGGAAGTTACCATTGGGCTCTGTGGCAGGGGTGGCCAACCCACAGCTCCAGAGCCACATGCGGCTCTTCAGAAGTTAATGTGCGTCTCCTTGAATCTTTGCACAAGCACATGGTGACCAGCTTCCATAGCTATTACATCATGTCACATGATGCAACTGCTTGCAGCAAGCACCTTACTCAGTTTGGACTTGGAAGTTTGGACTCCAGAGCCACCCCTGCTCTACGGCATGCATGAAAGTTCATTACATTAATTTAAACAACTAAATCAAGAGCACTGACTATTTTGTGTGATAGTATTGTTAACTTTAATTTTTGCTGATGATCAAGTTATTTGACTTTGAAGCAGAGACAACTATTGAAATAAGTCAGTTTTTATAACCTTTTCATCTGTAATTGCTCATGTGAGCAACAGTCTCGGTTTGAAGGGATTATGGCCTCAGTATATTGATAAATAGTCTGCACCAGGCCAAAGTAGAATGATCACAAACTGATAGGATGCTAACGGAATTGCTGCACACTGTCTTAAAAGAATGAGTCATACAAGCCACCCGATTCTGCCATGTTCAGCAGTGACATTTAATTTAAACTAACCTGGTGAAATACAATATAGTACAGCTATAATTCTAGGCTGCAAATGATACTAGATGATTCCTGTTTGTTGGGAACCAGTTTATTTGAATATCTTTTTGATGACACGGTTATTCCCAAACCCATAACAATCACTAGTTTAGAACTGCAATGAAAAAATAAAAAACTACTTGCTTCCAAGAAGTGAAATCAAAATATTTTGAGTCCCACTTTGTTTTAAAATTAATTTTTTGTCATCTGACTTGTGCTGTTTAAAAAGTACCCCAAAATAATACTTCATGTTAGAACAACTGAATAAACGAAATACACAACTCATTGTTTTGAAATCAGCTAAGCTTTTAGTTAATTTAGTTTGACATCTGTTATAAACACTGCCAATCATATTTTACCCAGTTTCCTCTCTATTGAGCCTAAATTTTTTTAATGCATGTCCTACACAAATACAATCAAAACCACACTTTGTGGCATCCCTACATTGAATCTACACTCAGGGCAATTACCCTCAGCCATTCAGAGCTGGAGGAAGCAGACAGAACAGTATATATAAATATATTTTTAAACATAATTGAAGAAGTTAAACTTGGCTGAGCTACTTAGTCATTTCTTTTAAGACCAAGTTAATCTGTGACATGCATTTCCTGATTCTGTAAACCCTAAAACTATGCAAGTGATGTGTCAGAATCTCGTCAGTGAAAATGATACAGTAGAAAATGACAATAAATACTGTATCTACATCAGGGGTGGAGAAACCATGCTCTGGCACTTATATAATTGTAAGAACCATCCAGAGTTTGAAAGAAAATTAAAGGAATGGAAATAAAATTAGAGACACGCACACATATACACAAACACACGCACATGCATGCGCACATATAGATCTCTTTCATTTCCTTTCTATTCCTTTTATTCCATACATATATAATTCTTCATAAGGAGCCAAACGAATGATCCCTCATATGAACACTCTCACATACACATCCTGTTTATTTGCTACGTTCAGTGCCAGTACCCTAAGCAAAAGTTGACGCAAGTTGTCACCTCCTGCCTTTAAAAAGAATGGTGCTGAAGCAACAGAAAAGGGGAAATTATTTCCTTTGTTACAGTGTTGTTCATAAAGGATGGAGCAACAGCACCACTGTGTTTTGGAAACACCTCTCATTTATGTTTATATAAATGAGAAAAAGTACGTGATTGTGTACACCCATAAGCATATATGTAGAGCAGGGAATGAGCTTAGGGGGAAAGTTATCAGCTAGGGACTACTTAGTGTCTTCTCTGGGGTTCTTGGGGGGAAAAAAAAGGAGGAAATTCATGCATTTTAGAAAAGCTATTGCTGGTTACCCTTGTTTAATCATAAAGAGCAAAGAGCACTTTAGTGCACAAGGTCAAAAGTATAATTTCACTGCTGTCATGGGTCTATTGAGATTCTAGTGTTCAAAACAGAGGCAGTTCCTACTGTTAAGAGTATTCATGGGGTGCCCTGATTCTATTACACACTTTCTCAGCCACAAATGATTTGAAATGCAACATTAAACTGCACAATCCTACAATGGAGGATAAAATCTGGTAAAGGTGACAAGAAAAGCCCATTTGGAAAATGCTTTTTGACAGAGTATATCAATTCCAAGCCACAGGGAGGATGTATCCATTTTGTAAAAAGGTGTATGAGCATTGTGGATTCTGTACATATGAGGCAGAAGTGTCTAGCTGGTCTGAACAGGTACTAGAAACATGTCAATGGAAAAGAAAGAGGGGTTAGACTGACAGAAAGAATAAGGGCAAGGTTTATTATATGCAAAGGGAGAGCAACCACTAGGTTTTACTTACATGTGTCACAAAATAGCTGAGAAAAAATATAAATGGTAGAACTAACAAACTTGTGTAGGTGTCTGCTTGTTTACTATGATTGCTAGATGCATATTTTTAAGGAAGCCTGGGAAGAAGAACTTTTGGGTTTAAAATCATTCAGCTACATGTATCTTTTTAAAATTGTTTAACAAACAAAAAAGCTTTCTGAAAACTGTTTAGCTGCTCCACTCTATAAAATAGAGAGGTTAAAACAAATAAGATGTGTAAATAAGTTCACCTCCATACTTTTCTTTCACTTATTAGTAACTAGACTAGTCTGTTTTAATACAACGCAGATTAATTTTTCATTGTCTTAGTTCAGCTGCTTCTACAAATATCTTGTTGTGTCAGCAATATGTGTGGTAGCATAGTCTGAGCACTATATTTTAAAGATTAAGGAAGACCTTAATCATTAAAACAGACCACAGTGTGAAAAGTAATTAGCATTCAACAAATATAGGTTCCAATGGTGTCAATCAAATACTGCATTACTCAGAATATAAAGATCTAACTGCCAAGAAAGACTATGGAAAAAATCATAGAATACAACAAAAATATTCTGTTTACACTGGAGGTTTTGCCCTTCATACTGCCCATTTCTCTTCTAATGCTCCATTACACAAAACCCAAAGCATCTAGGACAGTGGTCACCAACCAGTGGATCTTGAACTTGATCCACTGGTAGATCTCAGAGCCTCTTGGAGTTGATCCGAGGCTGGGGTGCAGGGCTGAGTGCCCGCTAGCATGGGAAGGGGTGGGGGCTAGATCGAGGCCCCTGTGGTGAGGGACAGTGCTGCAGAGGCAGGAGCAGGGGTAAGTTGAGTGGGGCCCTGGCCAGGTGGGACTACTGGCTGGGGAGGCACGCCCC